CCGGGCTGGAGGGAGAACTGGAGCCGCAATCTCGGAATCTCGATATCAAGACCGTCAAAGGGCACTTGGGTTTTGTCGAGGCACACATGCATGGCCGGCGGCGGAGGTGTTTGCGGTGTCGGATAACAGGAAGGAAAAGGCTGTATTAAGCCCCAATGGAGATGCGTGGTCGGTTGTTAACGTAAGCCTGCGTAGGTCCTTCTTTCGCAACATCACGACTCACAGATTACGTATAAACTCCAGATTGAGTGAGGCGGTAGAGTTGACCGTGGGTGCCGTATCGCTGAGCCCTGATAGGCATGGCGGTCGCGGGGTAACTCCTGCAATCTTTTCAGCGATATGGGCAGGCGGCATGGCTTCTGAATCCAGTATTAGAATGGTGACTCCTACTTGGGCAAATTGCGTAAAGGAAGGAAGTCAGTCTAGTATTTAAAAACAGAAATCCATTGGCAAGTCGCGAAAATTGTACTCTTCAGACACCTTTCCATGGCCGATGCCTGGCCCCCCACGTTCGAATCTGGATCGTAGGTTAAGAAACCAAAGTTTCCCTAATCTTCGACTATGGAAAACGATCAGTTCCGCCGCTTTCAAAAGGCTCGGTGAGTTGAAGAGCCCGGAGCACAGATTGGACCTGGTCAAACTGATGTCCAGAATCTATCCAGGCAGCCCCTATCAATGCTTCGACTGTCGACGCAAAAGTCACCCGCGGGACTTCCCCCCCTTGACACGGATTTTTAGTGACGCTCTGGTCCAGGCCGAGTCGCGCCCCGAGAGCTGCTAGTGAATCGTTTGCCCCCGCGGCGCTCAGCACAAGAGTGCTTTGCCCTATTATCCGTTAGCCCGTAAATTACGTTCGAAGCCATGCTCTTGAACTTGGTTACCTGGTCCTACCCCCTCTATATATGATCGGTGTGCAACATCCAGGCGAATAAGGGCGTCACCGATTAAAGCAAGAGACTTGTTTCCGTTTACGTCTCCGGCGATATCCGTGCGGGATACCGACGCACCAGCTGCTAATGTGGCTTCTTTTAGCAGCTTGCGGTCGGCAAACCGGTATTTGATGATATTTTCTATGTTGGCTGCCATTGAAGTTTACTGGTCTACCCGTTTCAGAAAATCGCAAACTCGGAATCAGTGACATTATGTAGGTAGAATGGACAGTTTTCACATGCTTTCAAGACCCCGCCGAGGAAACTCGGGGTGGCCTCCTTCCCTTGTTCGGCATAGTGCTGATGCGAAATATTAACATCTATGTAACACCTATGACGTGCACTTACGTTTTCCAGATCACAGGCTTTCATTGACGATTCGGAACGGTCTACATCCGGTGGCAGCCGCCTATTACCGATTGGCCAAGCGAGAACCGAGCTTTTCACAGGATGCTAAACATTACACATCCACTTCAAAAGCCTGAAAGCTGAAAGCCAAGAGCTAAAGCCTCGCTGTGGTTTTGTCCGGGGTTGGGGTACCGGTGCCGCCAAGTTCATTTTGCCCAATCAGCCCGCCGTTCCGCCGGTGGCCGGAGGCCGAGGCCTTCTCATCCGAAGGAGCTGACGCGTCCTCGATCTGACGTACCTGCCAAGACCTCCCTCGGCCGCGGCCGCATCGACTCCGATTCCAACTCCATCGCCCAAGCGATCGAGTCGCTGCGAAGGCCGAGCGGGTCCGTCTACTCCCTCCAAGAGGCCGTGCGTCTCGGACCCTGCCAACGAGCCAGCGAATCCATCCGACAGTAATACAACCTCCCCAGAAATAGCCCAAACCGGACACGACCTCCCTCACACAAGGAATTCCCCAGACTCCGCTTCCGTCCCAACTCCTCCACCGACCGCCGCTCGCCTTGACGACTCCCCTCTCAGCTTAGCCCGGCCCCTGGCGTCGGAGAGTAGGCCTCGACCGCATCGCAGCCGCCATTTTCCGAAGAAGTACGCAGACTTGGAGCAGGCCGCAGTGAACCGACCGGAGCCCTAGGATATGTAGATATCAAATTTAGCCCTTTTCCAAACGAGACTGCGAGGAATATCTTGCATGTATTTCAGCCCCTTTTCTCTACATTAGAATGCGAATGAGTGAGTGAGTGAATAAGTATATTCAACGTCGGTAAATCGGGACCTACCAGTCCCTGCGTCCCAAAGGGCATACGACGAATATTTCTGCTGGGTTTACATAAGGGAACGGGGCAAGGCTAGAGGCTATCGCATCCGCTGGCGGGGGGAAGTAGGGATCGTCGCTTGCCGGATCGTAAGCCGACAGTATCGAACCTGGAAAACTTTGCTCCAAAAGTATCCCGAAATCCTGTGGGGATTTTTCGTTAATGCTAAATCTTTTTAAAATTCCCACAGAATTACTTACAATTAAGGCAAAGCACTTCTCCACTCCGTCATTATCTAAAGACGATGGCGAACGAAGCAGAACATCGCCGCTTCTAGCATCCCCGTCCCCCGACCAGCCCTGGATCTGGCAACTGTCGGGCGGGGACACGTGGCCTTCAAAAGGCGACGGCAAAGACGCAGCAGCCACTCGATGTCGACACGCTGTTTGAACCGTTTCATCAACGAAGTGGTAGGTGTCGACCTTGGCTTCCCTGTCAAGCTCGGCGCTTCGCTTCCGCTGCCTTTTGGCCGGTGCCGGTTTCACGTCATTGTTCTCTTCTAGCTCCAGCGACGTTGACTCCTTGACAAAGTCTCGGCAGTGGGCATCCAGAAAATAGAATTCGAAATGCTTCACAGAGTCGAATGCGCCACCGCATCGAATGCTAGGATGAGGGCAGGTGACCAGCGTCTTGTCGTCAACAGCTTGGACGTATCGTTCGTAATGATCAAAAACACGGTCTTTCCATAGGCCTCTGTCCAGAAACTGACGAAGGCGCAGCTCAGGCTCCAGCGGTTTGTCCGCCATGCAAAACAAGCAGTAGCCGGCGGTGGCAAGCACTCCACCGTAAAGAAGGGGGTCGCACTGTACAGGGAGCTCGTCCGGGCAAGCAAAATGCGACCGGCAATGGTCGCTCCATTCGGATTTGTCAAACACCCATTTGTTGCACAGAAAGCAAAACTCGGTGAAATCGCCGCGTGTTTTCCTAAAGCAGCTGTAAACGTGTTTCCAGTCGTAGGCGGGTTGTTCGGCGCCACTAGTAGGGGCAGACTAGGGCAGCTTTCAACGAGACGTCGAGTCGGCACATCGACACTTCTCGGGCTCCAGGCCCGGCCGAAACTTGACTTCTGCGTCTGCCTCG